AATTACATTCAAACTGCAGTAGGTAACTTTATAAATACTAGCAATGTCTAAGAAAACAAAACAAACATTACTTTTGGCCACCCCTCTAGATCCTGCCCCTGCGTAAAACCCAATAGTGCCAGATCATGGACTGTTGCTATAACCAAAATTATCATTTGACCTAAGCGTGCATTTTGGACACCACTCATAATACGCTAGATAAAGTGTGGGACATTATCCACAGATACACCAGTTTCTGTGCTATTCCGACACACACCCGAGGGGGGGTAACTTTTTCTTTGTAAAAGCTACAAGTAGGCTAACCTTTTATAAAAGTAACTTTTTGTCAATATTTTCTGAACTGTCATTTACTCTGACAGTAGTGCATGAGACAGAAACTGTGATTAATCTGGCTCCTCCTAGCTGCTCCTAATAGTTATTTGTACAGAATCACCAGCCTGGACAAAAAAAAAACAATCAGAGCACAACAAACAGAAGACAATTGTTGAGTCTCATTCCCTATGTCGTGGAAATCCTCAATCAGATGTAAAAAACAATTATCCAAAATAGGTCAGCTTTCATCTGGCTCCTCGTAGTGCTACTAATGCGCATTTGTGTCTAACCGGAGCGCTGAATGAAAACAACCAATAGAGCCAAGAAAGCAGTAGAAAGACGCTTTAGCGCTGGTGGCTTGAAGATAGTACATTGCTGAGCTCTCATTCCAACATTGATAATTTGACGACTGGAGGGAGAACTCACGATCAATTGTCTGAATATGGTTGCTTTGTTCGGAAGCCTGGTGGATTCATAGCAATGCCATCTAAGGAGCACTAGGAGAGAGCCAAGAGGAACCTTCATTTTGTTCACAGTTATACACTGTCTCATGACCTACTGTCAAGGATACGGATGTAACGATTACCGGTGTACGGTACAACAACGATAAAAATGTTGGCGATAACAAATTACCCGTTTTCATTTCAAATATCATTATTATCACGGTTGATTACCACGGAGGGGGGGGGGGAGGCGTGGGGGCGGGGGGGGGGGGGGGGGGGGGGGGGTGGAAACCGTGTGTATTAATCCTTCCTAGCATCAATCCCGAGTTTCCGTGAAGACAACGTGCGTCCGCCGTTTTTCCGCCCGACACTGTAACGCGTCGTAGTCTTACATAAATGAAGACAGCCACAGCTCCCGTTATCCTTCTGCTGCGCGGGCAGAGTTTGGTGGCTAGTTTGCAAGAAAGGATCTGTCGAGTTGCGTCTGTTTATTTGATCCACAGGTTTAGCCGAGGGTTGACATGGGGCCAAGAAGCATCTGGCATGGTGATCGGCATTAAAGTGGTTGTGAGCAAATTTGTTGTTGTTAATTGCAGTGTTTTAGACTGCTTGGCTGGCAGCACGGCTTACAACACTACCTTACTTTTGTCTATTTCCTGTGTTTTACAGCCTGCTTTTAAGTTGAAGGCACTGGTTTAACACTCGTCGCTACCCCCTGGCTTCGGTTGGCTATGTTTGTTGTTTTGTGTGGTCGAGGGTCCGTACAATGCCAAATCAGCACAAAGGTGTTGCTGCAGCGGCGCCCCCACTCCGGCCAGCCAGGCGCTTCAATCGATTCAGAGGATTTTACTGAATCGATTATTGAATTCGGACAAAAATATATTACGCAATGCATTGATGAATCAATATTTTTTAGCGCCACCCCTAATAAGAATGCTGAGGGACAGTTTGATTGAAGATAGTTTTGTTACATTTTGATGGCTTTCATAAGGTTTTATAATATAATAAACACTGGTTAACTTTTTGAAATATTTCAGCTTGGTGTAGGTCTATCAGTGCTGTTCTGAACCCATTAATTGAAGCACACCTTTCAAAAAATACCCCGCCCGGATAATCACCGAAAAACCGGATTGTTGGGTAGCTATAACAAGTGAGACGTTAATTTTCGTAGCCGTTAAGGGCAGTCCTAGTCGGATATAGTTCAACCACAGTTCTTCAGACCCACACTCTCGCACCACACCCCACACCGCTACCCACCGTCCGTTCTATTCACCTCCCACCCACTCCCCCCTCGCCCTACCTCGCTCCCACCCGCCCCTCAGGCCCCCCGCCACGCACTCACTCAGCCCCACCACCCCGCCCACCCTGCACCTCTCTCTTTCGTCGCAGCCCCCTGTGTCGACATACTCCCACGCCGCCCCCCCCCACCACCGCCCCCCCCATCCAACCACACGCGATTTAGGGGAACCGCGCCAATGCCACCCCCCCGAGTATCCCCCCCCACCAACATCCCCCATCACCTCCTTCCCGAATCTCCGAGTCACGCAGCCCTCACCCAATCTCCAACCCCGCCTCACTCGCGCCCTCGCTTACACCGCCCCGCGTTACCTCTGGGTACAGCCTTCCCGCTTCACCCATTATCCCCCCGTCTCACCCACTTACCCCCACGCGCCTGCTCCGGGCTGTGGGTCAGTGCAGAAGTGGGTCAGTCAAGAAGCGTTACTTGGTCTCGATCCGCCTGCTCCTCCTGGCGCACATGTGCGAAGTATCTGATTTGGCAGGCCTAGGATAGCCCCTCCGCGCCCGGAACTCCTGGCTCGATCGCACTCCGCTCCGGGCATCCACCGGCTCGTCCGCCATGTCCGCTCCCACCTCCCGCCAATCCCTCCGCTCTCACCTTTCCCCCCGCCCCTGTCTCATCGCACCCCTCGGGCTTTGCCATCACTGAGTGAATGTGTGTAAAGGGCAAATGTGTTAACTGTAGTGTAAAAGCGCCTTTTGAGTGGTCGGAAGACAAGAAAGGCGGGGCTATACAAGATACAGGTCCATTTAGCCATTTTACGGGGCAACGTCTATTCAGCTTTAATTCAGCTTAAAGACTAGTAAAATATATTCATATCATACGCAACTCCCATATGGCGACGCATTTGCTCCAAACTTACTTAAGAAAATGTGTTAGCAGATATCGTGCTCAGAAGACAGAAATAAAGCTGGGAATTTCTTGGAATTCATTGCAGTTTTCTACATTGATAACAACATCGCATTTCAATTAAAGGGAAGGCTAAGTTTTTATACTGTTTCCGCATTTGGCCTTGCAAAGTTTGCGATGGTGGAATGGCAACAATAGCATGCATTCGCAAGTTTTCGCATCATACTCCAGACTGGTAGTTTCTACCCCCTTAATCACTGATTCTCGAAGATAGACAAAATGAAATGCATATTCATCCAGTTTTTTAGAGACCTGCCACAAACTCTGGGCACCCTGAATCATGGGTTATTTTTAGGGCCAAGCTTCAGCAACAGACTCATTCATCCTGCTCTAAGGAACGATATAGAAAATCGTTCCTCCCCACTGCAATAAGACTGCTATAACATTATAATTTCCCTTTGGGGATAAATAAAGTATTTCTATCTATCTAACTCTGTCAACTCACAACAAAGCTATGAAGTACAACTATAAATCAAGCAAGCCAAATTAATATGTATGCTGCTAAACACTGATAAAAAAAATTTAATTAAGTTCTGCCGTCTTTTCCTTTCGCTGCTTTCTGATGACTCTATTTTCAATATAATTTTTTTGCTTTCTTTATAAACTTTGTTATTTTAGTAGTTTTTTATTATCAGATTTTTAACTCAACAGTGCATTTGTTAGTATATAAACAAGTTACATGTAACTGAGTTGCGTAATCAAGATACAAAAAAAGGTAATTGTATTCCATCACAGTTACAGATTTAAAAAAAAAAAATCCGATTACAGTTACATTTAGTAAAAATTGGGACTATTAGCAGGATTAAAATTTTCAAACATCAGTTTTTCTGTATAAATATACTGAAAGGACACATTTTTGATGATAATCTTGGTTTCCATTTTCTAAAATTGCAAATCATTTACATTGATGTTGCTTGTGATGTTGCAGCCTGCATGTGGAAGTTTTGGCTATTTAGAAGGATAGAATATCGAGCTCATTAGAAGTAACCAGTATCACGTTCATTTTCTCAACAAACCAAATTTCATCAGGTCAGGTCAGAATTAAGTGAGTTACATTAGATTTTTTTGTAATTTGTGTTGAACACAAGATGATCTGACTTCCGCAATATGGCGACTACTAGGGTATCTATATTTCTATATCCATGATAGAAAACACATCCACCAAACCACAAAGTCATGATAGGTTATATGCTATATGCCTTTGTCAGTGTTGTGTGTCAGAAATAGAGCCACTACTACTAAAGGGACTACTAAATAGTCATTTATTTTTAGAGGGGAATTTGTATCCGGCACTCGTCCTCGCATTTCCAAAACTTTTTCTCACGCTGATAAGAGATCAGCTCTGGTTAGCTAAGATATCACATGGAAATCCAGTTAGTGTCAGTGAAAATGTAATTCAGTTTTCTTCACAGAAATGAATTGCAACCCCTAGTAGGGGAAGATTGGGAACCAGTTAAATCACCTTATTAATTATTACTACTAATCCAGGGCTCTCATCAGATCACTAGATGCTAGTCTATAATAATGCGATTATGGAAGTAAGTGCATTACCTTGGCATGTCTTTGACCGATTTGCCAAACTGAGGGTCTGAGGCTGTTGTGTGGCTTCCGTCCTTAAGCTGGTGGGCCTCAGAGACCCGCATGGCCACATACTCCTGAGAGCCTGCAGGAAGAGGAAGAAGAACAGTAAGGGAGAGACTTTTGCCATTCCTATACCAATTTCCAAAAATCAAAAAATGTATATGAGAATGGTTTTTTAATTTCTTTTCTTCCATCCTGGTGTGAGAAAGAGTATGTGTGTACATGCACAGTGGACAGAAGTGGTACCTGGTAGCTGCCGTGGGTAGCCTAGGATGGGGAATGCTATCAGTAGAGCTGCTGCTCCTCCTGCTAGGAAGCCGATCCACCAAGCCCCGACCCACAGAGGGTTCTCTGGTGTCATCTCTGTGCTGTGACAACACACACACACACACATTGTATGAATCACTTGACATTTACTGATATTAACCTCTACATGCTAGTCCACTACTCCATAGTGTGAAATGTCTATTCTACTACATTAGTCTTACATAGTCTATAATGCTAGTCTGTTGTATTCTGTTATAAGTCTGCCTTATTGCTTCCGACCAAGAAGGTTATGTTTTTGGTGCCGTTTGTGGGTTTCTTTGTTTGACACTTGATGGAAGGGTCTAGCACAGGCAAAGTTTAAAACCATACAATTTTGGAGTGGATCCAAATCATGGAGAGTACACAAATTATTTTTCACTTTCCTATGACAAAAGGGAACTGAAAGCACATGTGTGGACATGTTATACTTGCAGCAAATGCTTTGCCGACGACTATACATACAACAAAACACAACAGCTGGTATACATTCACACACGCACAGCAGATAAGTGTGAAATAAACTCCAGTAAAAGGTAAGCAAGCAATATTTCTGTCTGCTTTGTCTGCAGTGCGATTGTTAAGCTAACAGCAAACTGTTACAAACAATCTGTCTGTATTGTAGTCCAACTGTTTATCTTAGCTTGCCACCAATCTTCAAATCTGGCAAAATTCTTGTAAACTTAGCTACTGGCTGAAAACCACAAGGTGGAGATCATTATCAAATGCCACCAGGCGTGTAATAAACGTCACCAGGTGTTTTATTATAACAATTATTAAAAGTAATTCTAGTTTGTTTCACTTTAGTCTGTTCTAGTCCATTCTTCCACTCAAACAAGACTCACGTCAGGTGGATCTCAGTGTAGATGTTGAGGAAGTATCCGCCCAGCAGGTAGCCTGCTGCTGGACCCACAATGGCTGCTGTGTAGAATATCCCTGTGAGAGAGAGAGAGAGAGAGATCACAGACACAGAGCCAGGCCACGGGTGTGTCAGCACAGTGACTGTCTACTTCCTGTTTCCTACTTACCTCTTCCTGTCCTGCAGGTTAAAACTGCCCCATTGTTAGAGGGCTCTATGACCACAAAGTGAATGTTTCATGATTAAAAAGGAGATTGAAGTAAGCGACTGTGCGTGTGTGTTTGTGTGTTTTGGTGCGAGCACTTCCTTGAGTAGGTTACACTGTGCTCTGCTGCTATTTGAAATGGGCAAAGCTTTAGGGACAAGGCACAATTTAGGGACATTTTGTCCTACTGATGTCCACAGCGAATGCTGTATATGGGGTCGATAAGAACCAAAATTACAGGGCTGGAACTTGAACTTACTATCATAGAGCACTGGTTCCCAAAGGTTTTCCTTAAGGGACCCCTTTTCTATCATTGACTATAGAGACATATTTTATGGATATTTATTTCATATTATATTCAGTGTATAACAATAACAGTAGAGAACAACTGATAAACTATACAATTAACCCAAACAATGAACACATTAACTACAGGAACTTTGTGTAAAATGAGCGATTTGGATTAATGTGTCAACCCTGGCATCTGTATGCTGATGCTCATACAAAAATCTACATTCACATTGATGCAAACAAGAAAAATGCTATTTGCATATGTCTCAGCCCTTTCAACATTCAGAGACATTAGCTTCCAATATGAGCTGAGACCTATTAAGGTTTACACAACTCTGGCCCATGCTTCTTACTGTATGACCTAGTAAACCCGTGTTGGTGTCTTAGCAGTGTGCTCAGAATGGTAAGTAAGGTAATACATCTCACTTGCCATCAAATGTTTTCTTAATATTGTTGACTGTTGTTAAATCCTGAACAGCAATTTTTGTGTAAAAGGCGTAGCTTAATCCTGATCCACACTTCTTTTCCTAATATAATTCTGGACAGGGGATGGAAGGCGCTTACTCTTAAAATGCTTATTTTAAATTACATTTCAGCTAATCTTAGTAGCCTCAGTAGAAAGAGACCAAATTACAAAATACAGTAAAAATACAGGGGGGGAAGGAGCTGGAACTGGTGCGGAAGGTGAAGCGCTATCAATTAGCCAGAGCCTTTAGTTACCAAGCTCCTCTCCTGTGGAACCAGCTTCCAGTTTTGGTTCGGGAGGCAGACACCCTCTCCCACTTTAAGAGTAGGCTTAAGAAGTAGGCCTAGACTATCGCACTGAGCTCCTCTCATCCTCTCTCTCTCTTTCTGCACTCATTCTGCCATTAATGCATGTTTCACAACTCTAACTTAACTAACTTCACTTCTTCCCCGGAGTTCTTGTGCTTTCTCGTCTCGCAGGTTCTCATGGATCCTGGTGGAGCCTCCTGCCATGGTCCTGCTTGACTACCATTGCTAAAATCACTGATATTGTTATTATTATTAATATTATTATTACTACAGTTACTATTATTACTATAATCACTGCTCATTGTCCCTCACTGTTGCTGTTGTCGTCGTCATCTTCTTCATGTTCATCATCATCAGTCACTACTATTAGTGTAGTTGTTACTGTTGTTGCTGTGCACCTGTCTGTCTGTCTGTCTGTCTCTCTCTCTCACCCCAACTGGTCAAGGCAGACGATCACCCACCTAGAGCCGAAGGATCTGTCCTAGGTTTCTACCTCTTAAAAGGCAGTTTTTCCTTGCCCCGTCTCCAAGTCTTGCTCATTGGTGGTACTGTTGGGTCTCTGTAAATGTTATAAGGAGTTCGGTCTAGACCTGCTCTATTTGAAAAGTGTCCTGAGATAACTTCTGTTATGAATTTGGCGCTATACAAATAAAATTGAATTGAAAATCTTGATAAAAGATTAGTGAACATAAATTAATCCTCCACAAAAATTGATTGAAATTGAAATTTGTTGTGCTGAGGTACAAAGGTCGCACTTAACAAGAGGTTGTGACTCTTCAGCCTGTGGGTTTGTTACTGTTTTTGTGACTGATTGATTTTCATTACAACCAGATTTTGACATCAAATTTCATGACATTATGTTTTCTGTGTGTCAAAAAAAAGATTGGACAGAACTTGCCTGAAGAGGGTAAAACAGAAAAAAAGAGTTTAGGGGGGCACCTGTCTTAACAGAAATATAAAAAAAACATTTTTGGCCAATCTGTGTAACTTTTGAAAGGAAAAGTAACACAAATAAAAAGTTAAATTTGAGAGCAATAAATAAACCCTTTTTTAATGTGTGTAGTCAGCTGACACTGTTCTCACAGCTCTATTGGCTTCTGTTTCTATTCTTGACTTTGACTGGGGTCACCATCCTTGTCTTCTCTGAGGTAAACAAAGAAGGATTAAGCAATCTCCTTCCATGGGAATGTCTTCATTCTTTCATTAACAGTCAATTATTTAAATGAATGATAATGGCTAACAAAACACCATGAACATTAACATGACGTGCTGATTAAAGTCATTAGCTTCCAATTTCAAACTACATCCCAGTTTTTGAGTCGTACTGCAGAGGTGACAAATTAAACTTATAAATGTCAGTATTCAGACTTTATTTTTGAGTGAGCTGTTGAGGATCACCCAATATCAGTATTTGGGGATTTAGCAAATTTAATAAACTTGACTTGACTGTGGTATATCAAGCCAACCACATACCAAACGGGTGTAGTGGAGGAAATAGCCCTGCACCTAAAAAAAAGTTAATGTTCTGTACAAATGATGACTGAAAAACTCAGGGCACCCAGATAGCTCACCTGGTAGAATTTATGTCTCATGTACCAAGGCTAAGTCCTTGATGTAGCAGCAGCCATGAGTTTCAATACGACCTGTGGCCTTTACCTATATGTCATCCCCTCTCTCTCATCCTTTCCTGACAACACTAAATATATCGGCGGCTGCGGCACTGAACAGCTGCATCTGGCACACGAGTGGTGTTTACACCGGCAATGTGTCGGCTTTCATGCGTTGCTCAAGTAGGCAGTGTAAACAGTGTAGATTTTCAAAATTTCAGATGTCACAAATCATGCTCTTAGGCCCGTCCACTAAAACCAGATTTTCAATGAGCACACAGAAACTTTGGACATTCAGCACATGAATGTGAAAACATCTTTAGTGTCAGGCTCTGCACATATATTATTCTAGACTGTGTGCAGTGCACTGTGCAGTGCAGCTCAAACATCCAACTGTAGGAACAAAAAGGTTACATTGTCACCCCAAGTAAGTGTCCACTTTCAAACAGCACTTAAAGGCCCAGTGTGTAACACTATAGATCATAGATAATACAGGTGCAAAGTGCACACTTCCTAAAATCAATCCAACGTATATGCTTGACAGTTAAACAGCTCTGCAATGCATCAAAAACAAAAGAAGCCTGCATCGAAGCTATTCCTGAATGTTTTTATTTGACACAATAAAATACTCTCCCTGTAATCCGTCTTGTCTCTCCCTCCAATGTTTGCTGCTTTAGTGCAGCCTTTGCCTGAGTTACCTGAATGAACTGTCTGTATTCTGCTCAGTGTTTATTTCTGTCATCTCTACATCTTTTGTGTGAATTATTGTTCGCAGGGCTTTTGTTGCATTTGCAGTCGCATGTTAAAGTACAACACATATAAGGTGACATTCTTGTTACCTTGCTACCCAGCAGTATATAGTCATTAAAATTAACTTCAAATCAAAAGGTCCCAATCTTCCAAAAAATAGGATGAATAAAAAAATCAGAATTCTTGTTGTTGTGTTCATTCATGAAATTGAGTTATAAATATCAGGGATATATTTATATTTCAGGCATATATTTTGCTCACAAATACTAAACCACTTTAATTATTTCAGTGAACATTTTTAAAGTAAAAAAATTAAATCAAGAAGGCCTTGTGTTTTTTAGTTGAGTCAAGAAACACTTTATTGTAATGCATTTCAGCGTGTTGGTTTGGAATCTATAAATATACATATATCAATATCAACTAATATTTATACATATATGTTGCAAAAGTAAAAGCAGGATGAGTCAGTTGATGCTCTTACAAAACTTTGTTAAAATGATGAAACTTCAGGCAAAAATATCATCACCAAATCATATATGTTAACAGTTTTAATGCCAACCCAGTGTCTCTGAGCTTGTATTTAGCTCCCCTGCAACTTCTTCATGACAAGGCTGCTGGTTGGTGCGTTGGTAAATATAGTCCCCACAAAAGCACGTGTCCCCCACAAAGAGTGCCGGATCACTCTGCAGCAGCCCAGGTCCTCAATCTGAAAGCCCAGGTGACGGTACCTGTCATCTGTCTCAAACAGTGTGTTGTTGGTGTATGAGCCAAAAAACTGGGGATCAACACACGCATTTATCATATGGTTAAAAAGCTAATCACATCCATCACAAGAAAAACAGCAGTGGTTTTAAACACAACTAAAGTTACAAAATTCTTACAAAAAAATGACATTTTCAAAGCAGCTTTAAATGTATCAGTGTAACACAATTTAAAGAACAAATACAACTTACAACATATATGTTATAGCTCCTTTCTAGTCTTCCAGCCACAAGTTTTTTGTTTTTTTCTGGGCACCTGCTTCAGCCCGAAACAAAGTCAAAACCGCCTGCTCCCGCAAGATTTGCATTTCCCAATCCCAATGCAGCCCTCTCCCACCAACCTTCTGATTAGTGGACGATGACCACTCTACCTCCACAGCCACCGCAGTACTTGCTGCAGCGGCATTGTGTTCGAGTCCGACCTGTGGCCCTCTGCTGTGTGTCATCCCCTCTTTCTCGTTACCCTTTTCCTGTCTGTCTTCAGCTGCAAAGGTGTAGTGGCCATACATTGATGGTGCACAATTGCCCAGAGTCAAAAATTGTTGTCCCCATTAGTCACTTTGACAGAAAAACATGGACAAATAAAGTTCTGATTGAAAAAAGTTACCCTTTAACAGGAGGAGACAGTCCAAGGCCATGTCCCCATTGCTTTTACAGTGCAACTTCACCTAGTCAAATAATCTGGCTTGCTCTACCGGAGACCTAGAACTAACAACATGGTTTTTCCACACACTGTGAAACCCTATACTACCACTGTAGTGTACGACAGCACAATAGTATCAAGCTACTAAGATACTAGCGAAGACTAACTCTTCAGCTTTCTTCCCTTTTCATTACTCACTCCACAACACTGTTAAGGACAATTAATGTTTAAATTATGAGCTATGTTTTCCTTGTTTGTGTCCTTTAGTTCCACTGGTCAGTCTGTCACTGTCACTGATCATTACCATGGAAACATAACTCTTACATCGGAGTTAGTCTGGTGGGTGGCCATTATTTTTGATAAGTAGTTTGTGAAGCCCCTGGAGTCAATAAGCATCTCTTCACATCTTTCCTAGGACTTTGGATGCATTCATACCACCCTCACATTAAGGTGGATCTGGGAGATCTAGGAAGTTTTTCCTTGCCGCCATCGCCAAGTGCTTGCTCATGGTGGGAACTGTTTGGTCTCGACCTGCTCTATTTGAAAAGTNNTGTTATGAATTGGCGCTATACAGATAAATAAAAGTGAATTGAATTGAATCAACATGCACTTGTGCACGCAGAAAGTTGGCAGGACTTTTTGGGGATGTTTCAAAAAAGATTGTGCAGGCTGCTAAAATAAAATGTTTTATTCAAAATATTGTTTGTTATGCCCCATATCCTAGAGAGGTCCCTTCAATTAATAAATCAATCCCCACAATATTTTATTTGTTAAGGGATGCCCAAAAAATCAACTGTTATTCTTAGAATACTGAATGACTGTAGTATCTTACCGCAAGGCCTGAGGACGGATCAATAAAGTCAGCCCAGAATCCTTCTCTCTGCAGGGAGTAGCAGATCTCCTTCGCGCCATCAACAAACTGCACAGAGGAATGGAGAGGGAGAGATGAGTTGCTGACTCTTGTTTGTCTGTGCACTCTATATACTCTTCCTGCTGTTACAAGTCATAAATGTGTTTCTCATGGTTTAGGAAAATGGACATGTGGTGTGAGAACCTGTGTAAAGTTTTAATTGCTGGAGTCTCAATGTCAATGTATGAGTTGACAGTCCTGCGGCTAACGCTAGTAAAAATGCTAAGCTAATATCAAACAAGGCAGTGAAAAAAGGCCAGTTTTCTCCAATAACAACTTATATGTCAATGAAGTTGTTGATGCCGACTTAATTTTCTTTGTACATGGAGACTTTGGCGTTGGTTGCAGGCATGAAAGTGTTAGCTGTGACTTGGACTCAATGGTCCTTGTAGTCCAAGACTGAAGCCGATTTTATATTATACCAGCTATACCAGATATTTTAACAAACTCCAGACAGTAGCTCACCTTGTCAAGCATCTTTTCTCTCTCCTGTTCCACATCAGCAGACCATGACATCATATCATTCTGGGTCTTTTGGGTAACTGTGACCACCATCATACCAGAAGATGGAGCCTCAGGAAACATGGACTGAAAATCTGTTCATCACATTATTATAAGACATACACAGTACAGAAAAGACAGACAGAAACAAAGTTTGTCATTTGCAATATAAGCAACACTTAGGAGACACTTCACTGATACAGTAGCACATTCGCAAAACTTGTTAACTAACCACATGAAAAAAAAAAGCTTTTCGTAGCCTGCAGTGTTTCTTAGAACTAGTCACAATAAAGAAAATGGAAATAGGTGTTATAGATAAGTCTTTGAGGAGTGCAAGATAAGTGGTGTACCTTTTTTTAGTAGTTCAGGGCAGGACTGTATAGCACACTCCACGGTGGAGTTGTCAAAGTAGTGTTCAGCTGTATTGACATTCTGAGAGGAGGCTGGATCAACTTTCTCCTGACACACACGCACACACACAGAAAAGCAATCCTGTTAGCATATGGCAGCATAGTTTCACCTACAGCCCAATCTATATATTGATTGGCCAATATTAGCATATTGCATGCAAAACTTTTTTTCTAGTATATAATGCAGAAAAAACTGCTTGGTGTCACTGTGATTACATACATATACACATATATATACACATATATACATACA